AAAGGACAGGAAGTCTGTATGGAGTGACCAGTGTCAGAAAGCTCCCAGACCAGCCAGAGAGCGTCGGCTTCCGAAACACTTGGAAGACTACATCATTGGCTTGAATTAAAGGGAGAGATGCTACCACCCCAGATTGACAACCCTGGTGTGCATCGCTACACGTCGTTAGCTGTCACTGCGCTTGGTGAGGAAGAAAAAAGATTGTTCTTTTAAGTGACAAGAACTGTATGAAGACATAAAATAAAAAGTTCTGATTATTAGTGTTCTCGTTATTATTAAAACACTCTATAGTAGGATTTACGAGAATTTTATTATAAGCGAACTTAACCACGCGACGGACTGTCTCACATAAACCTCTCACTTCGCTCGTACCCATTCTGCATGTCGTCGTAGAGTACGAGGGGTGTACCAATATTGCAACATCCTCCCCACTTTAAAAGGAAATACAATATTGATTTGAAACTCAAATCATAATCATTAAACTTGCGCGGCATGCGCGTTTCACGTCTGGATCGGGTAAGTGTTGAACTAGGAACACTGGGAACAACCGGTTGGTTGGCTGGTTTCTCGACGCGTGGCTCAGACACATGAACTCGCGCTGCTGTATCAGACGATCGATCAGACGTTACTTCCGGAACTGCCACTGACGATGAAGACGACTGAATCGCAAGGCGGTGTGTTTTCATCTATATAACAGCTCGCTGGGAGACCTTCGATTTCCTTCGGAGTGGCAGAAACAGCAGTCGAATTTGTAGTAGCAGCAATATCGGATTTATTGAGAAAATGCTGATCCGATCGAATCGTTGATCTGGTATTGTCCTCCGTGCTTCCGTACCGTGGCTTCAAATGAACCAAGCTTCGCCGGTACTCCGCGCCAGAAACGTTGACTAAGTACGAGCGGTCACTCAGCTGGCCTGATATTACTCCTGGCGTCCATATTTTCGTTTCCTCCGGATTCACCTGAGCAAACACGGGAGAACCCACCTGCAGATCAGGTAGCTTGCGAGATTTTACATCATAGTTAAACTTGGACCGTTTACGCTGTTTTTCAATAGCTTCAGGTACATTCTTCACCACTTTTGGAAGTAAATTCGCCACCGAAGAGGGAACACTGCATCGTGTAGAGCGCGAGAAAAGACGAGCTGCTGGACTGGAGCCAATCTTGTTCGGTACATTGCGCCAGTGAAGAAGGGCGAACCAGAAATCTTCTCCTGCGTCCTCACATTTCTTCATCATCCGCTTGGCTATTTTCACCGCCGCTTCTGACTTTCCATTTGCTTGCTGGTGATGTGATGACGTGATGTGCTCAAAATCCCAATCTTTCGCAAACTGGACCATCTTGCGGTTGATAAAGTTGGTGCCATTATCCGTCAATACCGTCTGTGGCACACCGTGACGGAGCAAAATTCAGTTTGCACTCTCGAATAACGAAGTCCGGAGTCAAATCTTCCAAAAGATCGACCTCGAAGTAGTCGGAGTAGTGGTCGACTGAGACGAGAAACTTCTGCTTGCGACCTCGAAACTCCGCGAGAAATACATCCATACTCACCAGTTGGAAAGGAAATACCGGAATGCTGTGGCTCATCATTGGAGGGTTTGGTTGAGAAGCAGCGTACTTTGCGCAAACCATACATTCCTTCACGACGTCTTTTATTTGGGTACTCATACCAGGCCAGAAGAGATTTGCCCTGGCCAACTTCAATGTTGCCTCCACACCGCCATGGTTAACATGACAGCATTTGATCAACTTGCGTCGCAACGTGTATGATACAACAATCCGGTCATTTCGCAGAATCATCAACCATCAACCGTGCTCAATTCATATCGGTAGTTGTAATAAAATCCAAAAATGTCGAGAACTTTATCGAGCATCGTCGGCCAACCATGACAGATGTAGTTGACAATTTGCTGCATCGATGGATCCTTCACCGTTTTCTGTATTATATCACTCAGACGTTGATCAGAGATGTACAGGTAGCTGGTCGGCTTCAAAATGTATTCGTCCTCTGGTTCGCTGATAATCACCGGGGCTCAAGAGAGAGCATCGGCGACTACATTGTCTTTGCCGGTTACGTTAACTATGGATAAACTGTAGCGCTGCAGGTTTAGTAGCTTTTGCAGAAAGCAGCGGACGGTGATCGACATCCACTACCTGCAGGACCAATCGATATCTCCTACCTTTGCGTCGACATGGAATCTTGACCTGACCCAACACTTTGATTGGACTACCCCGAAACTTTGAAGACGTAGCTTGGAAGGTAGCAATGGAGGATTGTCTATTCCGCAGAGCTTTACCAGGGTTGAGAATCCAATCAGACTTGTATTAGCACCTGTGTCGACTTCGCAAGTGATGGACTTCCAAACGTTTGCAAACTTTAGGTCTAATTTAGCCAGGACACTTCCGCCCTGATCAGAATTGTCAAAAATCTTCCCGATCTCATACTCCTCTTCCGATGAAACGTCGCTCTCAGATGAAGTTTCGCCGTTGGAATCGCTGGATCCGTCCTTCACCTCCTTCACTCGTCGAGATCTTCGATGCTTCGGTTTGCTGTTAGCCTTGCACACTTTTCCAAAGTGGTTCTTGCCGTTGCACTTGTGACAGCGTTTCCCTTAGGCAGGACAGCTTCCTTTGGAAAATTCATGGCGATCTCCGCAGAATTTGCACCGAAAGACAGCCTTGCCTCTACTAACCTTATTGACATCTGCTGGATTCGATGTTAGGTTCAGCTTCTCTTCTCTTCACCAGTCGGGTTACCCAATAGCTTGTAGACGTCAGCTGAAATCACACTGATCGACTGTAGTCTCGTTGGTATTCCGTTTAGTTCAACAGTAAAAAATTTCCTTCTAACTGCGATGCTGACTTGGTTCACGGAGTAGATTTCCTGAGCCTTCGCGCTGTTGTCTGATTGCGCTTTTTTTTCTTCGGAGAAGATTTGGAGTTGAATCAAGTACAGTATCCTTCCCTGTGACCGACTTTCTTGCAAGATATGCACTCATGCTGGATAAACGTGCAATTATTTGAATAATGCATTTCCCCGTATCTCCAACACGGCAAATTCGGAGTTTCGGATTGGCTTGTTTCCCGTCCCTCTTGAGATTCAGGAGTAGCCGGCATTCCTCGGCTAACGTACGTAGATTCATCGACACAACAAGATTGGCACTCTCGATCTTGGACAACAGGGACGTTCGAATATCTGTATCTCTTGATGAAATCAGAACACAAAAAAAAAGCAAGCACTTGAACTGGTCCGCGTTGATACCGTTCAGCTCAAACTCCTCGCACTTCTTATTCACGAATCCAGCGTAGGTAAAGTAATCGTCTCATTGATTCTTCTGGACCTATAAGCACTGATATATATTTAATTCAAAAGCGATGTGTGTTTTCCAAAGACGGACGTCAATGTATTGACGGTGTCGTCGAAATCACCTTCCTTCGGCTTCTTCAGAAGGTATTTCTTGTGAGCCACAGTATTGAGGTTGCGCAGTTAGCAGGAGTCTGACCTTGGCTGGTCCATCCAGATTTCGAGCATCTTCAGCGAACAGATCATCGTATTTGGCAAACTAGGCTTCGAAGGTAACTCCAGCTTCCACATCGTAGCAAAATTCTGTGCTTCCAATTACTCGATTAGGAACTCACTTTGGTTCTGGCGGTGCGGTTCAACCGGATGCTGCTGGCTTGGCTGTAGATTACCGTTCCCATTTCCGTCGTTTTGCACTGCTTGAGCTGCTTATACCACTGCGTTTTGGTAACTTGTAAGTGCTTCGAGAAGTCGACCTTGGGTCTCCAGGATCCGTAAAAGATCGGCTTCAAATTCCGGAGACATTCTCTTCTTCCACCTATGTTTTCACGTAAATCGGACTTGAACATTTTTCAGAGTATAGTTCTAGTGATGTACAGTTGCACCTATTCTATCTAGTTCGCTTATTTGGAAAGCTTAATCACGATAGTTTTACGGAGCCGATAATCCATTGTTCATTGTTTGTAACACACACTTATTTCTATGTCTAGTAGGAGTTGGTCTGAATACTCGCGGATTACCCGAGGTTAGAGGGTTACATTGTCGAAGGATAGGATCAGAGGAGGAGCTTGGGGATGAGGTTTCGTTGTCTTATCAGAGCGTTGTCGCCAGTATGAACAATAGTGCGGTTCTAGATTCGTCTGGCGTGCGACCGGTTGTGGTGACGTGGGCAACGATGAGACTCATGGAAACGGAGGGACAAGACAAACACAAACTAATACAGAGAGAAAAAAATCTAAGGAATTAAATCCTTGTACTAGACATTTGTAGAAACACACAAATCGACTGCAAATAGCAGAGATCAGCAGTAGGGTAGCAGTAGATAGCAGTAGCAATAGATTTGAAGTGTGTCTTCAAATCTACAGGCAAAAAGTGTGCGCCCGCCTTTACTCATTACTGTCTGCGGCCGTGGAATAGTTCTAGCGACGTTTGATCACTACTTAAAGCCTCACGTTGCCGAGAGCATTTCCAGTCGATGATGTGTTATAATGCAATTCTTCTTTACCTAACTATTGTGTTGCTCCTCTTGTCATCTCAGAGAGAAAGCAGTAGGGTGGTTGTTGCGTGCTGTACCATCATCAACATTGTTGACGGCTACTCCCGCCTAGAGTTGTCACATTCAAAATGTTTTTATGTTACTTCATACGCAAAGTATACGATTTTCAGAGTTGGTTGGAAATGCTATCGTAAGATGAAGCTTTAGTTTGATAATTTATTAGCTAGAGTATGATCTTGTCGATAGTTCCGTTAGAGTACGGCAGTATGACACTTGACAGTATGACAGCACTTAAATTAATTTGTTAATAGCTCGCCGGGGTTAACATTCATCGATGTGTTTGATGTTGCTTTTGCTAGCAAATACAACCTTTTACTGCACTGTATTGGATAAATTTCGGAAAATTGGTTCACTGCCCCTACTCATACTGCCAAAAAGAAAGTGGTATTCTTTCGCTTCTATTCCGCCTCGATTCAACCGCTTAATTTTTTTATACAAAAAACTTTTATTCACACTTACCGGTCTAACCCTCGACGATGACCTGATCTCGGGCAATCTGGAACGCCGCAATCAACGATGCCATCTGCGGTTTCTCCACACAACCGCCTGCCAGCCGCTCCTCGAGGGCTGCCATCTTGATCATCAGCTGGGACAGAACCCGCGGGGGCAGCTCCATCCGGTGCACGTACAGATGAATCTCGGTGAGAATATCCTCCAGCGCGAGACCTTTGTTGGTTTTCAGTTCTTGGATTTCTGAAATTGTACAAAATGTGTCGTTAGTAAAGTTTCCTCTCAAACAACAACCCTCCCACGACTCACTTTCGTAGGTTTCCTTGAAGCTCTCCACGTTCAGCAGCCAGTTCACGATATTGGTGATGTCACTCTTCAGCGGATGTCCCACGCAAGTGTACACATTATCTTCGGTGACATCCTTGTACGCCATCCAGGTACTCTGCAGCACGTTGAGTACCTTTCGCATGTCACCTCCGGCCAGCGTCATCAATGCTTTCTTACCATCATCGGAAACTTTGATTCTAAAATAAAATCCCAGAAACAAATAATCCACCAATTCTCAACTCCACATTCAAAAGGCAAATTACCCTTCCGCATCGATGACGTGCTGCAGCCTTGGCAAAATTTGATCCGCCGACAGTGGAGCAAACCGGAAACGCGTACAACGCGACTGCAGCGCCGGAATGATCTTGCTCAGGTAGTTGCAGATGATACAGAACCGCACATTATCGGTGTACTTTTCGATGATTCTCCTCAACGCATTCTGTGCATCGTTGGTCATGGCATCGGCTTCGTCCAGGATGATCAGCTTGAACCCTCCGCTGAAAATCGTTCGGGTGGATGCAAAGTTCAGAACCTGGCCCCGAACGATATTGATACCACGGTCATCGGAAGCATTCAGTTCCAGTACCATCTGGTTGAACGTTTGCGGTTTGTATAGCTGTCGGGCACAGGCCAGGATCGTACTGGTTTTACCCGTACCCGGTGGACCGTAGAATAGCAGGTGCGGCAGCTGGTCCTCCTGGATGAATTTATGGACTGCGGAGGGACGCGGGTGCAAACGGTGAGAAAATATTAGCCACAATATCATGTGTATAAACATTGAACATCCTATAAGTTACTTACTTGTGGAGATGATTTCTTCGTGCGAAATGAGATCGTTCAGAGTTGCCGGGCGGTACTTCTCCACCCAGGGAAGTTTTGACTTGCCGTCGTTTTGCATTTTGAGGTATTTTCTTGGCACCGACACGGGAAATTCAACTAAAATTATGCGATTGAAACACAACGAGTAGGACGCAAATCGATTTGTTTTGAGATTTCCTGCGGCGGACGGTGGTACGTGCTTTGCGCCAAATGATGCGTCAAATGACAGTTGATGGGTTCATTACAGTTCATTTCTAGCATCCCTATTAACGAGTGCACGGATGAATTTGAGTTCACTCACTCGACAAAAAGTGACACAACAGCGGGGCCCTGTTTACTAAAAATGAACACATGTGTTCATTTTTAGTAAACAGGGCCCCGCTGTTGTGTCACTTTTTGTCGAGTGAGTGAACTCAAATCCATCCGTGCACTCGTCAATGGTGCAGTGATGCCAACATTCCAGTTTAAACTCGATTTTTCTAGTTGTTTTATACCTGAGTGGTGCGAAGACGGACCTCAAAATCGAACCACTTTTTTATCATTGTGGTTCGTTGAAATAGATAGAAGTATTGTTATCGTCCAAAATAAAAACTAAATATTTTTCAGTAATGTTTTTGATCTTTTTAAAAACTTGATTCGAAACGACTCAAACAATTAAAAATAACAGTATTATTGCGTATTTTGGACCAAAGTAGACTCCTGCGCTGAAAAAAACCCCTGAGAGTACCGTAAAGTATCATTCACCATGCATTTAAGGAGATTTGGTGCGGTCCAAGGCTCTCGTATTTTAACAAGATGATCCATTCATCCATTCTCGCTACCAACGTCAAACTGCTTTATTATTTATTTTAACTCAAGAAAAAATATGAAATCAATGTCTTCTGAACAAGAATAAATAGTTTGGGGTTTTTTTTTCGGATCATGACATGGTCCCCATTCACCGTGCTATGTCACCATTTCATTTACATGCACGGTATTCATTTACCGAACATGTAGAATTTCATTTAACTTTGTTTAGAAATGATCAGAAACATAAATGGAGTGTAATTCACTATTTCACAAACGCTTAAGAATTTGATTTGCAAGGGCACGGTGAATGGAGGATCAGGGATTTTATGCCTCAGAAAATCCCAGGGCGCCGATTGGGACTGAACCCAGGCCATACTGGGGTGAGAGGCAACTATGCTTACCACTCAACACCGGTGCTCAAAGTTGGGGGGGGGGGGGTCTGGGAATTGAACCCATGACCATCCGCTTGAGAAGCGAACGTGTAGCCTACTACGCCACGAACTCCCTCATGAATAATAGTTGTTTTATACTGGAGTTTTTACTTGCAGGTGTTAACAATTTTAAAGTACGCTATAATCTTAAACGGTGCCGTGACAATTGCAAGTTGAACCAACGATGTTTCATTCTTCTCAGTAAAACACGGATGGTTTCCCAAATACCAGGGGTACTGTGTTAATTTCAACATTTAAGTGAAAATGTCTCACTTTTGCTTTGCAATATTTTCCAGTTCCGGCGATCGCCAATCTTCATCGTTAACAACTTTATCACTTTCGTCAATTGTTTCACTGATAAATGGACCATCATCATATGTTCGCAGTGTAGGAATTGCATTTTTATCACGATAAGCAACTGAATTCAGATGTTTTACACAATTTTTATCAAAATGAATACTGCACAACCGGTCACTGGGTTTGATTTGAAAATTGAGATCCACCTCACAGAAACTGAGCCACTCTTTTCGTACTGCTGAATCCTTGGGAAACCTGAATAGGCTTCGCTTTTCGTCGTGTCCATCTTTATAATTGCAAAGGTGAGCAAAACACTTCATTCTGAATTTTATTCCACTCCGTAAAAACTCCAGCTATGAACAATGTCAACAAACAATCACAAAGTCACGAATCGGCTCTGTACAAAAAGCCGTTTGACACTTCTCTCTACCAACCGACGGTGATGAAACGTTTATTTCAACACTACCAACATGAAGAAAATTTCACTTCGCACCACTCAGTTTTATACCGAGGGGCACGCAATAACCTTTAACTCCTACGCAAGCCTTTTTTAAGTACAATAATTACAGTTAACTACATGATTAATTACTTTAATTACGAGCGTCGGAAATTTATTGATTTAATTACTTTTAAGTACAAATTTCAGCTTTAATTACAAGTCGCATAAATTAAGTACATTAACTCCATTAATGTACAACGAGAAATGTACTTAAATTTCCCCCAGCGTACCGTTAGACCCTTTCGTTATTGGCCCGTGAAACAAAAATTTCACAGGCACTTTTCCTACGTTAAGGATAATGTAAGCTCTGATAGATTGTATCGCTACCGCTGTTAAGACTTCAGAATACATAGACCCTATAAACATACATCTCCCGGGACCTACGAGGAAATCTACATTTGTGATTGGTGCCAATTCACATGCAACGATCGGTTCGTGATTGGAAATGTAGTCGGATTTCAATACTGCCGAGGTGTTGGCAGGGCAATGAACTATATCCTGGATCACGCCCCTGTCAAAGCATCGGAGAATGCGACAATGAAAGGCATGTTTGTTTGTGCTACCTGGTTCAACCTAAGAAATAACGAATTTAATTTGGTGGCTGTGAACGAAAACAGAATTACAATAGAAAATTATGTTAACCTTTGCGTGCCTAACGTCTAAATATGCATAGATTTCAAAATTCAATTAGCTCTAAAAACATAATTTCTCAATATTTTTCTTTACAAAAAATTGTATTTTGTCGGGAATCGATTGAAGTTTTTGAATACATCTGAAAATATTTTGATCAATTCATGGTTCCGGAGTTATTCTGGTTCCCGTTGGGGTCACTTTTGGTCGGCATTCGGCTTTATTGTTCTGTAATAAGTATACACACGATGAACATCATGTTTTTTTCTCAAACGATATAATTGGACCAGTGGCAGCTATTCCGACGGTTCACAATCACATTGGGCATCCCGGAAATGTTCCGGTGCCCCGGGGAAGTGGCCAATTCTCAACAAGAACCAAAACCCATCATGCGACATATCAAACTTCATGATTTTACAAATCTTGGCCAGTAATGGCCTTATTGAGAGTTCATGGTAACACTAGCCCTCCTAGACATGTTCCGGTGCCCCCGGGGAAGTGGCCAATTCTCAAAAAGAACCAAAACCCATCATGCGACATATCAAACAACATGATTTTACAAATCTTGGCCAGTAATGGCCTTATTGAGAGTCCATGGTCACACTAGCCCTCCCAGACATGTTCCGGTGCCCCCGGAGAAGTGGCCAATTCTCAACAAGAACCAAAAACCCATCGTGTGACATATCAAAATTCATGATTTTCCAAATTTTGGCTGGTAATGGCCTTAATGAGACTCAACGGTCACACCAAAGATGAATACTAAGATGAAACTGTCGGAAGAAAAACTTTCAATTTTAGTGTCCTCTTTCACGGTCCCTTTCATCGAATGAATACCCCCAGTATGCAAGGTAATTTTGTGGTTTAGCTGCCCCCTTGGTAGAGATGAAATTTTGCGCGCTTTTTTATCAAAACAATGACACCAAAATCAGAGATGTCCCATTTTTTAATTACTCGATTAACAACTAATCGATTATTTTTTGTTGGCTGTCCTGTCATTTTTTCCACCAATGAGAGTGCAAAACTTGTTTGAAACGATCGGTGATGATCCTCTGAAGAAGTTAATGCTTATATCGGCATGATATAACCGATTACAAATATTTTATTGTTCGGTTCGTTAATCGATTATTCGAATGAAAATCGGCCATCACTAGATGAATGTGAAACGTCATTTCAAATATAAGGACCGAACATAAATAATGATACAATTTAAAAGGGACCGGGGCTAATCACAAATTACTTCCCCACGGTAACTGAAATAAACACGAGTGTTCACCGCTTGGTCACACTAGCCCTCTCGGGCATGTTCCTGTGTCCCCGGGCAAGTGACCGATTCTCCACAAGAACCAAAATACGTCATGCGACATATAAAACTTTATGATTCTGCTGAACTCGGCCAGTAATGGTCTTTTTGAGAGCCCACGATCCCATTGGCCCTCCCTGGCATGTTCGGGTGTTCCCGGGTATATTTTCAATTATCGACAAGAACCAAAATCCTTCGTGCGACATATCAAACTTCATGATTCTGCACGGCTAATAATGGTCTTAGACAGTCCACATTCCCATTAAATTGTCCCCCCGGGTGGATATCCAACTCCCAATAAGAACCAGAACCCCTCGTGTGACATAACAAACTTAATTTTTTTACGAAACTCCATCCGTAATGACCATATTAAGAGTTCAAATTTGCTATCACAGACACGATCCGATATTCCCAGGAATGCTGTTACACCTAAAGTAAATTATGGAATTGAGACAGTATTTAATTTCATCCCTATGCTGATTCAATAGAATTAAGAAGTTGTACTAGACATGTTTTAATTCTTATGATTTTAACTGTTTTTCTTATTCAACAGTGTACGCAAGCCCAACAGCATAATAGCAAAAATAGTACCCCTTTTCTTCCGATTTATGTTTCTTACATGTAGCTTTAAGACATACATGACACAATGATTTTACCTTTTCATCATTGGAACGAGAACAAATCGAACACTTCTTTCGTCCAGAACCACATTTATAGTCTTGATGCAAAGATTTTGGTTGATGTAGGTTGTTGGCACAAGCTACTAATGGATATTTTTGGTTGCTATTGGAAATTTAGTCGATTGTTGAATTTATGTATGTATGTATATGTATGTATGTAAAGGATACCACTCATTGTTGCAAGGCACAGCCATTAGACAGTGGATCATCCTCCAAGTATGACTTGATCAAGTACGATACCTGGTTGTATTCAATTTACCATTGTAAGAAGGGCCAAAAACGGAGGGGCGGACCCGTAAGCAGATACACTTACGCGCAATCCGCGGGATCAGGAGAATCGCCTTCCAATGATAAAATCCTACAACCCGATGTAGAACAAGCCATCATACGAGGGAACGTCCCAATGAGTGGGGAGAAGAGCCCGCCGTCAATTCACGAAATGTTAATGACAGGGAGTTGGCAATTCCACTCTCCCCATCCAAATCGCTTCAATCCGGTGCCCTGGTGGTCCCATCCCTCCCCTTTGCATATAATGTGTATATATATATATTTATATCGGCATTACCCGTTAGATTTTGTCAACACAATTTTGCCTTCTTAGCTTTTCAAAATCTTTAATAAATGCAAATCTTATCATCTGACCTATTCCGTGAGTCGTGTGAATCTCCACCACCAATGAGTCAACAAAAGTCACGCTCTAGTGGGGTGACTCTCCGTGCAATCAAATGAAGAGTCACCTCACACGAGGCGACCCCCGTCACCCTACTAGCGACAGAGAGCCATACTACTCGCAGAACAGGCCTGCAGGTGACGTTTAAAGCTCCACAATTTTACTGAAAATCTAAGAAAATTATTGAACAGAATTTAATAATATAACTGCAGAGCACAAGCAGTTTAAATATACTGAGGACGTGTTACCAAAATCGAACGGATACTTTATATGTTTATTAATTTATCTTACCTTGATGAACCAACTACTTACCTGTCCTTAATGGCCATAAGCTCCAATCGGTATTTCCCGGTAAATCCGATCACGATCCTTTACAACATTTGGCCGACACCAACGCGCATCATCGCAACCACTCAGCACTTTCTTCCTCTTCACTAAATTGAAGGGCTTCTAGGGAAACTATTTTCTTGCGGACCGCGTTGCGGTCGGACTTCACTGTTCTTCTCCTTCTTTTTCTCTTTTAACCCCTACTACGAGAAGATGAAACACATATGTGGCACTCACTCTCCTACTATCGGTTGTCGCTGCATTAAAACCGCTGCCGCAATCTTTCACCCTTTTCTTTTTGCTTCTCTTTCTACTCTCTTCGTCTAACAGAATTTCACCACCGCTTTACTCTGTATTCCTTTAGGGTGCTCACTCACACACTACTGTTTGCCGCTATATTTTTGGCACTATCAGCTTCTTCTTTTCTTCCCCTTTCCTGCCTTCTCGCACTCGAAATTATCTCTACCGTTCGGCGTGGAATCAACAATTTCCACTCTTAAACGCAACTCCCCTTGCGCTCCCCTCGCACACATATGCACACTGGACCTCCCCGCATAGACCCTTCGCCCCTTCAGCAGCAATCCTGCCAAAAGTAGTCTCAATCACGCTTTTTCTTTCTTCTTCTATCACCGCCACCGATTGAAACCGTCACGCAAGTTATAGCGCATCACCTGCGGATGTTAACCGCCACCTTATCTTAGTATCACTCCACCAATCCGCCTCCTAATCCGTATTACCGGACCAGCCTTCCGTCGAACACTTTCCTCGAACCAGCAACAACACTGAACGCAGCAGCAAACAGCACACACGTCCGACTCAGTCGGTAGTCACTCACGTATGAGTCGATTGTTGAATTTATGTATGGGCCAAAATTAGGGACACTCAGGCCGACATTACCTGCATTTCCCCTATTATTTGTCAATCCTTTTCTTTCTATTCGTTCTTTGACGTGTTTAAGTGCCAACTCCTTTGCCAGCCAGTCTAAAAATTTCCGCTTTCGGCTCTTGTCATTCGGTAGGTAATGAGGATATGCAATTTTAAATAGAAAATACGCATTATTGGAGCACATGTCCGTAAGGTTCATGAAAACAGTAAACGACCATCTGTTAGTTCGCCATTTGCAAGTGTATCCCGCAGTCGTTTTATCTAGTGTATCCACTCCTCCTTTCCATCTGTACAACTGTACTATTTTCGGCTTGATTAAATTTTTCTTCAATTAGTCCTAAATTAAAAAAAAATACAGTAAATTATTCAACGAATACAGTGCTCTAGATACGACATTATGTTGAACATACTAAACAAAAGTGAAATCGATTGTCGCGAGTGGATTATTTCAGTTTCCAACTCTAGCAGTACAGAGCGATCAATTATCTTATTCCGAATATCGTGGCATTGTTCTTCAAAAATATCAGTCTTTACTGATTTCATGAACGTAATTGATGTTGATGCAATCTTGTCATTCCTCTGCACAAGACTAGCCACATTATCTCGGAAGATTCTCTCCAGGGCAACGAAAAATATATACGTGGGTTCTGTCACGTACAACAAAGCCTCCCCGGTGCAATCTTTAAGTATTGTATACTTTGTAAAATATTTCAAAAATGGATATTCACTTACACAACGCGAAAAACAACTTTCACACAACAAATAATTCTTTGACGCACTGTTGAGTATATATCCGGCAATGTGGTAGATCAAATTTCGTTCAGAATTGTCAAACACACTGTCAATGAAAATTTCGTTCGTGAATTCAAGTTCGATGAAATTAGTTTCCTGTATTTAAAAACTAAAACATTTTTATTTGATCTCCAAATAGTGCAAATTTTTGGCTTACCATGACCGTCTCGTTTGATGTTAAGTCTGACCCCACTTTATGTGCACCCTTTTCATTTAGGCTCAACAACCATGTTCTGTCGTCTGTTTCATATGTCTTCATCAACGAGCTTTCTCTCGTACTATCATCTGGCTGCCGTGTGTTTTACGCTGATGACGTCAAAATATACATGATCGTTAAAGGTATCGATGATTGCTATGCTCTACAATTGCTGGTGAATAGTTTTGCTGATTGGTGCACCCGGAACATGCTGACGTTGAGCATCTACAAATGGAACGTTATATTTGGTTATATCGTTTCATCGCAAGCTCAACCCGATTACGTATGATTATTCAATTAATGGTCAGTCCCTTGAGCGTTGTCTTCAAGCTCGTGATCTTGGTGTCATCCTAGATTCAGCGCTGAACTTCCGATCACACTACAACGATATTATCTGTAGAGCCAACCGACAGCTGGGATTTATGTTCGTAATATCCTGCGAATTTACCGATCCTCTCTGCCTCCGGTCTCTGTACTGCGTACTGGTGCGATCGATTCTGGAATCCAACTCTGTAGTATGGTGCCCGTACCAGTCAACCTGGACTGGTAGGATCGAAGCAATTCAGAGAAAATTTGTGAGATACGCCTTCCGTGATGAGATCCGTTAAACCTACCACAATATGGAGATCGATGCAGATTATTGGGACCGCAGAGACGGAATGATGCCCAAGCGGTGTTTGTAGCTAAACTTCGCACAGGAGAAACTGACACACCGGAGTTACTAGGTCAACTAAACCTTTACGTTCCTGAACGATTACTTCGCCAACGGAACTTTTTGCTGCTTGAGCCCCGCAACTCCTTGTATGGCCTTCATGATCCTGTTCGCTTTATGTCGACTAGGTTCAACGAAGTCTACATCCTCTTCGACTTCAACTCTACTGTGGCAACATTTAAGCGTAGACTGACTGAATTGCATTAATGGATCGAGTGAGATTCGTTATTGTGAAAGGTGAGTAATATTCCATTGCTCCTAAATTGTAACGATTATGCTACCTGTATTTTTTTTTCTCCATTCACCACTGCCGACGAGGATTGCTTCGGATGATGGATGTCCAATGGAGCTGATAGAATTATATTTTTTTTATGTTTTTGACTACAGTTGATATTTGAAGCCATGTTCACTTTATGTTATGTTAACGGATGTGCTTGTTTTGTAATGTTTGTACTGTATTGTGAAAATATATGGGGTTTTTACGCCATTTAAATTGGCTTTTCCCCATCACATTCATTAAGACGACAAAAAGTCAGATGAATAAATAAATAAATAAATAATAAATAAATAAAAATATGACACCGTAGGTATATCAGTCATGAATTGAGATATTGTGAGCAATTTCAAATTTTCTTTAAATTGTAGGGCCGTTGGTCGCTTTTGCTTGAAACGCAGTAGTGAAAAAATATTTTCAACGCAGTCCTGTGTGAATCGAGCAGTGAACAAATCAGGCATAACATTTGATAACGACACAAAAGCATTTGTAAACAAACTTTCTAAGACCCTTTACACGTGAACCAAAGTACGCCCACGCAAACAAACAACATCATCGGATAGGGGCAACTATCACCTTTCCGAAAGCGGTATTGGTTTGCGTGGGCGAACTTTGGTTCGTGTGTAAAGGGACTTGGAAAGTTTGTTTACAAATGCTTTTGTGCCGTTATCAAATATTATGCCTGAAATATGGGTACTGTGCATCAACCAAAAAATATTTTCATGAGGATCCAGTTTTCGTCCAGTTATTTTTTGTGCATTTTGTCAGTTATTTTTAAATAGATTAATGGCATCCCTGCTGAGAGGGCACAGTAAAAAAAATAGCTTTGTTCCGCGAGTTCATTCTTTGTTTGTCGTTTGTTGTCAGTTCATTTTCCTAACAACACACCATCAGGAAAAATCTTGTAAACAAAACAACTCGTTTGTCGGTCGCTTTTTATGATTTTAATTTTGTGTTATTTTCCTGCGTTAAATTATGTAAAACAATGTCTAAATCCTGGAAAGATTTTGTGTTTTAAAATGAATGACTCCAGTGCCAACGAATCGGCGGGAACGTCCCGCGGAATTCTCAACGCCACCAGCTACTCGCTGAACAATGACGGCACCTTCGACGAGAGTGAGCTTTGCGACGAACGAGTCCTTCAGCTGATGGACAAGCCCTTCTCGCAGCTGGTGGATGGCATGCAACTCCGGAAGAATGACCGCTACGCAGGGTTCGACAACAATGCCGGCGATATTTGGATCTATCCGACTAACTACCCGGTAAGGAAGTATCAGTTTTCGATTGTCCGAGCAGCACTGTTTAAGAATACCATGGTCGTGCTGCCGACCGGATTGGGCAAAACGTTCATTGCCGCAGTCGTGATGTACAACATCTACCGATGGTACCCGACGGGGAAGGTCATCTTCATGGCTCCCACGAGACCGTTGGTCAATCAGCAGATTGAGGCATGCTACAAAATCATGGGAATTCCCAAGGAAGATACGGCAGAAATGACCGGCAAGCAGCAGAGGAAAAACCGGACCGGACTGTGGCAGAGCAAACGGGTGTTCTACGTAACACCGCAGGTCGTTCTAGCGGACATCAACTCTCCGGAGCAGAATTTCCCGACTGATGCCGTGAAGCTGGTAGTGATTGATGAAGCCCATAAAGCGAAAGGTCGGTACGCCTACACAGAGGTGATCAAAGCGATCGCAACTAGCAACAGCAATTTTCGGGTGTTGGCCCTGTCGGCCACTCCAGGTCGGACGTTGGAAGATGTGGCTGAAGTAATCAAGAATCTCCTGATTTCGCATATTGAAGTTCGATGGGAGAATTCGATTGACGTTTCACCGTATACTTTTAAGAAGAACATCCGAACGGTCGTTACCCCTCTGGGACCCAAGTTGACCAGGATTCGAGAACAGTTCATTCATATTGTTGATCCGTACGTTCGGCGGTTACTGGATGCGAATGTGATTTCCGGTCATACGGGTTCTCTGAACCGCGGGTGGTTGATAATGGAGCAGAAGAAATTTCGTGAAAATAGTCTTATTCAGAGGCATCCGAACTATTCGTCGATCAATGCGGACTTTCTTGTCTGCGTAAGTTTGTATCACGCGATGGAGCTGCTGACACGGCACGGAATACGGGCGTTTCTGAACTTTTTCGAGGACGAGCACAACCGAACCGAGGAGAGGTACTTTGTGGCCAAGGATCCCCGGTTGAAGGTGTTCCTGGACGAACTGCGGGAGGAGTACGGAAGGAACCCGTTGGCCATCCTCGGAGCGATGCCGAATGGGGTGGTGCCAAAGGTGGATAAGGAGCCGATTGACTTTGGCCATCCCAAGTTTACCATTTTGGAGAGGAATTTGAAGGAGCACTTTAAGGTTTGCGTCTTTCGGTTGCGGGGGAGTGATAGTAGGTTACTGACAGTGGTGGTATTTTGTTTTTTTTTTCAGAATAATCCAGATTCCAAAGTGATCATCTTCTGCGAGTATCGCGAATCGGTTGCAATGATCCATCGGTTACTGCTGCAAAATAGGCCCGTGGTAAAACCAAAATGCATTGTAGGTAAGTTGCTATTGTCGAGAGTTCAGACTTGCCATGACAGACCTTCAATCTGTCCGGTTGAGGTATTACATATTGCATCCCTAGTAGTAAATCATTTTTCGATTGAGGAAATGAAGGCACCGCGAACAAGTCAAATCGCACGGTACTGCATATCCACTAACACTAACGACAGATCGAAACCTAGCGAGACATGCCCGATAGCATATGAATCTTTTATGATGTCTTTAAAAACAATCGCTTCATATGTGAAAAGCAATTCTGACAAAACGCATGACCCATTTCCCATTGCAGGACAGGGTGGCACCGGAGGTGGTCTTCGTGCCGTAACACAGAAGGAGCAGATCGCCGCTATGAAGGACTTCCGATCGGGAGCCTGCAACACCCTGATCGCTACCTGTGTGGCCGAGGAGGGAATCGACGTGGGTGAGGTGGATCTGATCGTCTGTTTTGACATCACCAAGAATCCTACCCGGTTTGTACAGCGGATCGGTCGAACCGGCAGGCAACGGGTCGGGAGGGTTCTGATGTTGGTCACCGAAGGCAAGGAGCATGATACGTTGAAGGAGGTGCTGGCGTCGAAGGATAAGATCAATCAGAAGCTGTCGCGGAGTAAGGAGATCTTGGGAGTGTTGTACAGACAATCGCCGCGACTGGTACCGACGGAGTTCGATCCAAAGTGCGTCGAGACGTTTATTAAAATTCCGGAAGAGGTAGAAAGTGTCAGTGAGCCGAAGGGTAAAAAGGGGAGGAAAAGAAAGAAGGATGATAATCCGGATAGGGAAGAGGTTGAAGGGGAGCAAGCAGAAGGAGATACTAGAAAAAAGCGAAAGAAGAAGCAGGATGCACCAAGAGGAACGCAGGACGTTCGGAACTTCTTCCGCAAGGTGGACACGGATCTGGACGCCAGCGAAAGGGAAGTTTTCTCTAGTCCTCCTAAAAAAGAGGATGCATCGGTAAACTCGATAGATACATCACGAGGGAGCTTCAAAGCACCGCAGGACGCTTCCTTAAGACTAGGGAAAACCAATCAGGAGATGGAGTTGGAGAAATTGATCAAGCCATTGCTACGACATAAGGCGAGGTTTGAAAGGGAGCGATTTCTGAACGATCGGAAGCAGCTGGTAGTTCAGGAGGACAAAGCATCCAAGTCGATTCTGTGCCCGAATCCCTTGAAAAGGCTCTTGCTGGAGGCGAATCTTGGATATCTGAAGGAGGTAATTGAGAAAAGTGAAATTCTGCATGCCGCGGTCGGAGAAGATGAAGATGACGATCTTATACTGCTGGACGACAGAGGAGACTGTCTGAAGTCTGAGTTGAGAACTGTTGAGGGACTGTTCAATGGACGCGATCAGCTCAAGAAACGTATTTCGGATATCGAAGAGTACAGAGCAGCGACGGGACGGCTGCATCCGCGAAGAAACGTCATTCAAATCGATAAACCACAAGTGACGGACGATCAAGTTTCACGATTCAACGAACACTTTTCCAGATTTTCAGCTCATAGCCTCAACAGTGACCGTGTCCAGCAGGTAACTGAGGTGAATGAATTTGCCTTATCTCCCGTCGTAGACGCTCCCGAAGATCCAACCATTTCGAACCTCTTCGATTCCCAACTGTATCTGCCAGCAATTATGGAACCAGATCAATCCCGCTACTTCCCAAATCTTCCCGAAGCACCAGCACCACCAGAAGTAACCCCAATCAATCGAAACAAAACAAAGTCCCGTGTTGCGACTTTAGCCAAGAGCGAAAAGCGAACCCCCGCAGACTACAACAACAGTCCGCTGTTGAGGGCATTCAACCGGTCGATTCAGAAAGCGAGGAACTCGGACCACGCTTCGCCGCTGACCAGCCGTCCGAAGCAGCTGAACACGCGGATGGTGTTGGAGTACTTTGGACTTGGTAATCTGGATCAGGTGTTTGAAGAGTCTCCCGAAAAGCCAACGACTGGAAACAAGTTTCTCGATCGTCTGGATACGTTCGTGGAGGATGAAGAACCGACGGTGATGGAGAATTCCCTCACGCAGCAAATTGCAGATCTAAGCAAGAGTTTGTTCGATTCGAAAGAATTGAATCTACAGGCTCAGGAAGCTGCTTTCCTGGCCGGGGATTTTAACCGGTACAGTCAGCCAATCGTTGCTGAACAAGTCAACCCAGAGGAAGACCTTGCCAGGAAGGAGGTTGAATTGCTCCAGGCAGACTTTATGGAAGGCGACTTTTCCGGTATCGAAGCATCCACGAAGCAACGGTTGTCGAACAGAACGCAAGTTCCGATCGACGAGTTTCTGCGGGAAAACTTCCCGGATGACAAAACCCAAGCCATCCCGTTGTCCTCCGTTCGGAGTCATTCGAGTGACCTATTTCCGTTGAGTGCGAGCAAACGGCAGAAGAAGGATCTAGAGTTGGACATCCACGGTTGTCTTTCGGATTTGGTAGACGACGGAGGCGGCAGCGAAGAAGCCATTCCGAATTCTCAGGAAATCCCGCCGAATTTGAATACCCATACCCGACGCTCTCAATTGAAAAATCTGGATGTTGGCAATCTGTTAGATCTACTGGCGGACAGCGATGATGACCTGTTCAGTAACAGCGAAGGGTCGAAGAAAACTCCAGAACTCCCCGACCTCGTCGTCAACTCAGGCAAGATCGTAAACTACGATCTGGAAGATGTAATGACCAGTGCAATTTCCCAGAAAGAAAACATTCCGAACGAGCCGAACCTCAGCTGGAAAATGGCGATTCCCACCACGCCTACCTCCAGCAGAAAATCCGATCGAAAAGAGCAGGAATCTCCTCAATTCGTGGAACGATCGCCTTCCCTGCTGCGGAAGAAACTGAATTTCAATCGACTTCGGCTCAACCAATCCAACGACAACGGGAAACTGAACGTAAACTCGGCTCCGGTAGTGCGAGCTCACTCCGGTGCGACGAACCAGCAGTCACCGTTCTTTGCCTCCTGCAGGCCAGGGGACGGATCCAGTTTTCGGCAAGAACTGGAGCGGCAGTTTGGATTTCAGCAGCGGCCGACTGCAGATGCTTCCCAAGAGGACCGCACTTTGGATGATCTGACGATGATCGTTCCGAGATCCAAACGGAAAGCGATCGTCAGCAGTGACGACAGCGAGGAAGATGACGCTTTCGAAGATCTTGAGCAGCGGGAGAGCGACGAAGAGGATGACGTTTTCCAAACGGCAAGATCGGTGAGTGCGGTGAATGCGGCAAAATTATCTCTTATTTCTCATTTTTATGTTTCATCAGAATGTTAAGTCTTCGGCGGAGTCGAAACAGGTGATGATGGGTCCTCCGTCGTTGCCCTTTCGCCCTCGCAACAATCGACGGAAACGGAAGGAGCGCTGTGATTTCTTTTTAAGTCAGGCTGTGGTATCGGATGATGATGATGACGATGAACACGACAGTGATGAGGGGTTATCGCAGTTTGTCGACGATTCCATCATTGACCACGGACCGGTAGAGGACGACGATCCGGACGATATGCAGGCGAAGTACCTGCAGTCGGTTAGGTGAGTGGTAATAAGGATAATTAGCATGGTAGTCGATGGGATTCGGTCGTTAGTCAATCTTTTCCAGTCAAACTTGTCTCTCTTCCGGCATCTGTGCTACATGTTTAACCCACCGTAAAGTGGCATGTTCAGTAATTGGCCAGACGTCATTTTCTAGATTATTCTATTGTAATTCTCCCATTGTTGATCTATTCTGGATAAGACCCGTTTAGCCTGCAATTGTTTGGGATAATAAATATTGGGAAAGCGTTTTGACTCCGGCCAATGCTGGTTTAGAAAAGCAAACCACCATTTAGTTAACATTGAATCTGTTGATTTTGACAAACAAATAAATTAATAAATGTACTAGCTGACCCATCTTGGCACACCTTACCCTATAATTGTGCTTGCCACACAATATACAAATTCATGCCCACACCCACATAACTGTTTCCCCATTCCAGGAGTCCCCTCCGCCCCGGTTGCTTCAAGATTCCAGCCGCTCCGGCACGGGTCCGGAATATGCTGGACATCTACTCGCAGCCACCGCATCTGGACCAGCAATCGATGTACGAGATGAACTCGTTCATCGTGCCGGAAGAGGAGGAGGACGAGGAGCAAACCGGAGTCAAACCGCTTCGATCCCCGTCCAGTTCCGAGCTGGACGAACTGGAACGAGCGGAAGCGATCCTGAGGGAACGTCGCCGTGCGCGGCGTATGGAGAAGCGCATGCCCAAGGCCAAGCGGCGGAGGAAAATCGTTTCGTTGGGCAACGACGAAGGGTCCGGCAGTTCCGACGAGGGAGAAGAGCTGAAGGCATTCCGAAGGCAGATCCAGTCGCTGCCGTCGGACTGAACTGTACATGAAACGTACAAGTTTGCCTGTAGAATTGTGCCATGTTACCAACGTATTTTTTTGTTTAAGAAAATAATTTGTTTAGCAAAGTTACAAATGCAAAATGCTCAATTCAATGACATGTCCCGCGGGGGATAGGTTCTTTCCGTCTATTCCGCCCCAATCGATCTCCACTTTTAATAAGGTATCTGTGAATCATATATTATAATCGTTCATTCCACGGTACATATCTTTGATTTCGTTTTCGTGTTTTTTTTTCACTTCTTCTTCTTCTTTTACATCCTACGCAGTTTTCAATTATTTCGTTCAAATCTACATTAGAGTTTGTGTGGGGTTGGAATTCATTTTTTTTTTAATATCTCTCGCGCGGGAAAGAAGGAAAACCCACGAATCATTCCTCCGAATTGCCCTCTGTCTGTCTGTATCTCCTCTCTCTCTCTCTCGGTTTAGCTCTTGCATTCACGTTCTTTCGCAGGTCACTTGTCGCATTGGGATGGGAGGGGTAGATTGTATCGCTCTTTATCTTCTTCGTCTTCTTCTTCTTCTTTTGGTTGTCGTTTGCGGTGCGCCCGATTAAACTGATTGGTTTCGACTGATTTTGTTTTGGTTTGGTTGTAGTTGTAGTTAAGGTAGGGTTTGATTCTGAGTTAAAGGGAGGTTATGGTAGATGTAAGAGAACTCTGTCTATATGCTAACTCGTTGCTAACCTGTTGATCTACTTATTTCGTTAGTTAGCTACTTTGTGGTTTGTTTATATTGTAGTTAATTTTATTATTCTTTCGTTTGTCCTTTCTGTAGATTAGTTTGTGTGATTGGTTGCTTCAACTGCGTACGTGTGTATGTGTGAGAATAAATATGTATATGCATTTAAAACAGATTCAGTTTGCTCTTCTGGTCGAGAGATGGCGCTTTCTATTGTGTCTTGTACAATCAACTTGTAACCGTGTCGTTTCGGGGGACAAGGGAAACTCCGAAGCTACTTAGGCGTTTAGGTTACTCGGTAAAATGGGGGTCTGCTCAGCTGGATTTCATCGGGTCATTTTCCTATGTATATCTTCCCGTGTGTCTGTGTGTGAGTCGGTGTCGACTATTAATTATGCAAACAACAAAAACAACGCACTTTCTGGTCAATTCAGCGACGGTGTCCGCGAGTCGTTCCAGTTGACCTCGATGTTGGGCCACTTGGTCTGCAGGCAGGTCAGCATCGGATCCGACGGGTTGCACATCCGCACGTCGCTCTCCAGCTGGATGGCGTGGCCCTTGTTGTACCGCACCCGGTTTTCGCAGTTCGAGTTCGGTATGCCGTTGTAGTGGAGCAGGTCGAACGTGTCCGGTACGGATTTCTTCTCCGTCGGGAAGAACTCGTTCATGAAATCGTTCAGCAGGATGATGCCGAGGCTTTCCGGGTCCAGTTTCTTGCGCATCAGGTCCACGCTGCGGGGGAAGATGGAAAACGGTTTAATTAATTTAAATTTGTGTAACCAATCTTAGTGCCCGAAACCTGTATTTTGCTATATTTATCAAATGAGGTCAATAAAAACTAAACCAGCTGTATAACCCTCTATTAACTGCCTATAATCGCATATCAGTCCCATCCTAAAATTCGATTGTCCAGAGGTCAAGTTACAGTTCTGCATTTTGATTCACCATATTTTTCGCTGATGTAACAAAACATATAAAGGGCTGATCATTAACTACGTAGACAGTTTTTTTGGATTCTTGACCCCCCCCCCCCCTGCGTAGACAATTGTCCATACAAATTTTTAAAATTTGTATGGGCCGTGGATCACTGCCAACCCCCCACCCCCTAAACTGTCTACGTTGTTAATGAACAGTCCCCTAGCTTTATTGTAACTGATTTTAACTTTTACCAAATTTTAAATAATTTACTATGATTTTTCTAATATTTACTTGCACTTCATAACTTCAACTGCCATTTTCTCAATACTTACTTTTTCCATATGGGACTGATATGGGATTATAGGCAGTATAATTCAAATAACCACATCACTTATGCCATCACCATATTTGACGCGGTTCCTAATGGAGACGCACTTGTCTATTTTTATTCGCATTTCAATTTTGACGAGATATTTTTAAAAGCTTCGTTACACTATCATCCTTAGAGCACCGGAACTAATATTTACAACGTTAAAATTTCAATAATATTAATGGAAAATAGTCTAAAATGATCCAGTGCGCCAAGTTAGGAACCGCGTCAAATATGTTGCCTTCACGGTACCGTCAACCGATAAGCTCCAGTTTCGTCACCCATCTGAATCTAATTCAGAAGACTTGTTCCGACGACCGCCTTTTGTTCTACAAGACTAGTTCTGCCGACCCCAAGGGGCAATCAACTCTGCACTCTGTGCCGATACACAGCATGATACACTGTTCGGCACATTAAGGCACACTTTGACAAGTGGGACACAGACAATGTAATATAAACCGGCATGACTGTTGAGTACTGATGTTTTGCCAATCGTTACTAAACTAAGGTTCAATACTTTGTTTACTCCCAAATGACGCTAGTGAGAGAGTGTTATACATAAAACTGGTGATACAGAGATTCAATCAAGCATTTAAAAACGACAAACGGGTACCCACCGGGTGTTGAAGATCGTTCAAAAAATTATGTAAGCATAGTCTGAATCATGAATCTCTTCAAACCTAGCTAAACTAAGTCCGTCTCTTCCGAATTGCAGCAAAAATCACATCGGACCGTGTTTTCATTTAGAACAGCTTCTATTCGGGCCTCACTTCAGTCGAGTTCATCTACACCATGACCGGTCCAGAGCATCTTGTGGATACAGCAGTCAAGACGGCTAAAACGGGTTACCTCTAGAGACGATTCGATTTCGATTGAGAATGAAATAATTGTGAAAATTTTCTTTTTGCCTTTGATGATAAATTCGGAAGGCCACACCCCCAAATTTCATCAATACCAAGAAAATGGATCCCAACTATACGACGGGGATGGCGGAATCCCTACAATTATATTCGTTATGTTATTCGTACGAAAAGAAGAGTACCATGCATCCTGCGAAGATCGAAGAACAAACAAAGATTTGTGGCAACCCTGAGGCAAATCAGGGAGGTCCGAAGTGAAAATGTTATACAATATAGGCCCAAGAATGCTACCCTAAGGAACTCCTGCTCTAACAGGTAGTCGATTAGATTTGGAATTTTGATAATTTACCTGCAGAGTTCTGTCGGTTAAATAATTTTGAACTAATTTCATAATATAAAGCGGGAAATTAAACTTTTTCAATTTAGCAATCAAACCTTCATGCCAAACACTTTCGAATGCTTTTTCTATGTCTAGAAGAGCAACTCCAGTTGAGTGGCCTTCAGATTTGTTTGAACGAATTAAATTGGTAACTCTTAAGAGTTGAGGAGTAGTTGAATGCCCATGGTGAAATCCAAACTGCTCATCTGCAAAAAATGAGTTGGTATTGATGTGAAGCATCGTTCTATTTAAAATTATCTTTTCAAAAAGTTTACTTATTGAAGAAAGCAAACTTATTGGACGGTAGCTAGAAGCTTCAGCTGGATTTTTATCCGGCTTCAAAATTAGAACAACTTTTACATTTTTCCATTTATCAGGAAAGTATGCCAAATGGAAACATCTATTAAATAATTTTACCAAGAAAAACAAGGTACTCTCTGGGAGTTTTTTGATGAGGATATAGAAAGTTCCATCATCACCTGGAGCTTTCATATTTTGAAACTTTTTAGTTAAAGACCTTATTTCGTCCAAATCATTTTCACCATCACCAAAAATATTTTCCCGAGAGAAAATATTCAGATAATCCCGAGCAACCTGATTCTCAATAGTAACCTAGTAAGACCCAAACTGAAATTATGGGAACTCTCGAATTGCTTAGCAAGTTTCTGAGCTTTTTCCAAATTTGTGATCAAAATTTTACCACCTTCTTTAACCGCTGGAATAGACTTTTGAGGTTTTTTCAAAATTTTTGTGAGTTTCCAAAAGGGTTTGGAACTCGGGTCTAACTTTATTTTCAAAAGTTTTGTTCCTCAGGGCAGAGAATCGCTTTTTAATTTGTTTTTGCAAATCCCGCCAGATAACTTTCATGGCAGGATCGCGTGTTCTTTGATATTGTCTCCTACGGACATTTTTAAGACGGATCAAGAGCTGAAGATCGTCGTCTATTATAATTGAATCGAATTTAACCTCGCATTTTGGTACTGAGGCAGCTCTTGCTTCATCTATAGAAGTAGTCAGAGATTCAAGAGCATAATTAATTTCATCTTTGGTTTGCAAAGGAATGTTTGGATTGAAGTTATATTCCATAAATGTTCTATATTGCTCCCAATCAGCTCTATGGTAATTGAAAATAGAGCTGTTGGGATTACAAATTATTTCTTGGGATATTTCAAAAGTTACTGGAAGGTGATTAGAACCGAAGTCAGCATGGGTGACCAATTGGCTGCAAAGTTGACATGAATCAGTTGAGACCAAATCAATAGTTGAGCGATTTCTTCCAGAAGTAAATCATGTTGGGCTGTTTGGATATTGAATAGTGTAATAACCTGCAGAACAATCATCAAACAGAATATTACCATTGGAATTGCTTTGAGCATTATTCCATGAGCGGTGTTTTGCATTAAAATCACCAATAATGAAGAATTTAGACCTATGACGGGTACTATCTCGAAGCGTACAACGAAGGATCACGGCAGGATCTTCTGCGAGAGTTGAGGTACTTTAACAATTTTGTTATGCAGAATGATCAATAAAGAAGAAAACAAGCTTATCATATGGAGCGGCCGGATTTGAAGCCCGGTCTTGCCGAGTATCTTCGTTCGTTTTTCCTCGGATTTTCTTCCCAGTAATTTGGTATTGACTTCGATGGGATAACCAGGGCTTTATAGTGATGTCCATAAAATTTGAAAGATGTATAAGTACTGCTATCGTGAATCATAAATCACCCACTTTTGTAATCTGTGTGGAGCTGAGTGGATTGGGCGGAAACTTCTCGAGTTCTATACAGACCGATCAGGCGCCATATAAAGCGTTTCCACTGAAGTCTGCGGTAGACGAGAATCCTATTTTCGAAGCATGACATATCTTCACGGGGAGATATTTGATAGTTTTCATCGGTGGTGGAAAGGTACCACAACTAAATCAGATCGTAGTTTGGTAGGCTTGAATTATATCTTTGAGGACACGCACTTCTGAGTCGATTATATGATTTAAAACTGGTTCGACGGTGTTACTCCTAGCGTGGGATTGAACTATCGCCCCGTTCGAGTTATGGGTTTACTTTAGTCGGGAGGGATTTCATTCATCATCGATCGGATTTCTCCTCTATTTCTGTACACCAGCAAGGCATCAAGAATTCAAAAAGACATCGAGCCAGAATATTGTGGACGGGTTGAATGTGCATGATTACCGTATTGGTTATATGGTTTCCAATTCCCGACCCGCTAACGCTCTAATGAGAATGAAGGTGAATGCTTGCCATGATCCATCAGAGAAATTAAGATTGTAAACACAATCATAAAAGTCAAAACTTTTGGGGTTGCCAAACTCCTGGAATATTGACACCTTGATAGGCATACTTTGATTTTCCTTGATAGGCACGTTCTGCACAACGCTTGGCACGAATTAAGGTGTGCAGAGTTGAATACTCCTTGGCCGACCAGGACTCCAGTTTAATAATTTACAAGCTTTTTGGGCGACTCCAGCTCCGGGAGTCCAGTGAACTTGACTGACAAATGAATCGATATCTCCGGATAGTACCAGTACCCTGCAGTGTAATCTGGAAGAAGAGTCTCTTAAGGCCCACGCACATTAGATCCGGATCGGACGCGTTGCGGCAAAGTGACAGCTAAATCTATTGTCTAACTGTCAATTTTACGTCAACGCAACGCAAATGGATCTAAGGGGCTGTCCATAAACTACGTAGACAGTTTAGAGGGAGGGGGTTGACAATTATCCACGGTCCATACAAATTTTAAAATTTTTGTATGGGCGATTGTCTACGCAGGGGGAGGGGGGTCAAGAATCCCAAAAAACTGTCTACGTAGTTTATGAACAGGCCCTAATGTGCGTGGCCCTTTAAGGCATCAGAAACCAGACTAAATTGGCGGCCGTACTCATAGAATTACCGGAGATTTTGAAAATGTCTGCAGATGTACAACGGCTGCTCTAACAAAGAAGACATGTTTCAGCTTCTTAAATGCCTGAACTGGAATAAGCTCTAGATGCCGTAGCATGCCGGTAACTCCAGCCATCCAACGTTGACAGCGTAATTTCCAAATTACAAATGCTATACGCAGGGCGGCCACTGAACCGGGAAAACCGGAAATCGAAAACAACCAGAAAAACCGAAAATATCCTCAAAATATTTTGTTAATACCTATTTTAATTGAAGTCTTATATAAAAAGTTCCAAGTCCGATATCTCC